TGCTGCAGGTCCCGTGTCCCGGAAGGGAAAAGCGACAGGAAGGAGGACCGTGGCTGATGTCCACAAGTGCTGGCATGCCAGGACATCGGGTGATAAGTCACCCCTATCTTGTGGATTGCAGAGAGGGGTTCCAGTGCTTGGGGGCTCTCTGCTGGGGCCCCTGCCTGGCCCTGGCACCCTCCAGGCCGCTCCACCTCTCAGTTGCAGGGGATGAAGCTTCCCCAAAGCCTCAACCCCAGATCTGGGCTGTGAGGAAGAGTCACGGAGGGGGGGGGGAGGTTAGCAGTGAAATTAGCAGGTCAGGACAGTCATCCACGCAGTCCTGGAATGGATGCAGAGAGATGCCCCCTAACTAGCGACTGCATCATATATTCCACTGGCCGGATTACTTCTTGTTTTATCTCAAGGTATATTCATCCCGCATGCGACATTGTCACTTGCTACTCAGCATCTTCTGCGGCTGCTGCATAAAACAGGAGGTACATGCGATATACATTTAAATGACATTTGGAAAAACCTCTTTGATAGTGAGCCAGAAACCTGCTGGTGGACTCTGCTGGGCTGAATCATGCACGAATTCTTCCCCACCTCCCAGTCTGCATATACTTGAAAGTGTTTGTGGAGCGGCCCTTTTCCTTCGGTGTGAGAAAATGCAGCGGGAGCTGTGCCCCGTCCCCTTCCTGGAAGGGCCGCGCTTGGCGCAGGAGCATCTGCAAGCAGCACAGCCGCGGTCCGTGCACTCCTGGGTTCGCGACACGCTGGGCCTGATCCTGAGGCCAGTCGGCTTTTGTGGAGCCCTTTCCAGTCCCTCCTTTTCCTGGGCAGCAAGTCTGGCTGGACCCGGGTCAAGGGGGTGGCAGCGATTGGCATGGCTCTGGGCACCAGGGAGGGCCAAGCCGCACGTGAAGGGCTTCCTGGGGAATCTCTTCTCTGCCGCAGGACCAGGGAGGTTGGCACTGGGTCCTGCCTGCAAGAGCTGATCTGAGGGCAAGTTGCGACAAGGCTGGATGTGGCAACATAGAATGGACGCGAAGGTCACCCATCTGGTTGGCACAAGAAATGCCCAGCATTTCTTTCTCCAGCGTGGCCTGAAGGCCACGGGTGCCCTTAGCCAGACTTCGCAGGGACTAGGAGGGGCTCCCTTCCTCCGCTGCCCACTCCCCCAATCCCCACCATGGATTTTGGGTTTCCCAGACAGACAGCTGCCCATCCTGCCCGGGGCCAACCTTGTCCTCTCCGTGGTTCACGACTCAAACAGAGCTGGAGCAGATGCCCACCGGGATTCTCCTTTTCTCTGGACAATCCTCTAGGCCTCCAACGGGGTGGGATCTTAAGAGGTCAGCTAGTCCAACCCCCACCCAGGGCAGGAATCCATGAAACCATCCCAGAGAGGGCCCACTCTCGGCAGGCAGCTTCCTCCCTCCTCCCCAGCTCTGTCTGGAGTCAGCCTGGGCAGCTTTTCTGCCCTTGGGACCCAAAGGCCCCCGCCAAGGAGGGTGCGCTGCCTCCCCTGGCCCAGCCCTCAAGAGACCCCACCCCCGGCTCTTCCCCCAGCTCAGACGCCCCTCTCGGCATTCCTTCTTTCCAGCCTCTCGTTACTCAGGGAGCTGTTTCCCCAAAGTGTCCCGTGTTCCCTTGAATGTGTGGGGCTTCATCCTGGAGGTGGGGGTCTAGCCAGCGCCGAGCAGAAGGAACCGACCTGCTCTCTAAAGCAGGGCAAGGCCAGGTTGACTCTTCAGTGGCTGCGTCCCGGGGGCTCACTCAGGTTTAGCTGGCGGCCTCGGACCTCCCCGGACATCCTTTGGGTTTTTCCTTCCCAGATCCAGGATCTTATGCATCTACTGGATTTGTTCCAACATTTAACTCAGATATAATCATTTTGACACGTGATTTTGGTCCACTAAGGGGTCAGCCAACCCTCTGTCTTGGTCACCTGGTCAATTTGATAAGTATCCCTTTTTTCCATTGACTAGGCCAGTGATGGCGAACCTTTTAGAGACCGAGTGCCCAAACTGCAACCCAAAACCCACTTATGCATCATTGGCTGCCGGTGGGTGTGGGTGGGCGTCGCCCATTGGGTGGGCATGGCTGCGGTAATAACAGCAGACTGGGTGGGACTAAAAAGTTCAATCAATCAATTCCAACTTTGCAAGATCTTTTTTTTCCCCGTGAGAAGTTGAAATTGACTGATTGATTGAACCTTTTTTTTTGCACACGGCAGTGGAGGCCTAAAGCGAAAAGGTTTTATAAAACCCAGCTGAAGGCCTAGGACTGGGGCGACGGCGCGCGTGCCCACAGAGAGGGCTCTGAGTGCCGCCTCTGGCACCCGTGCCATAGGTTTGCCACCACTAGACTAGGCTATTTGTAAAGATATGTAACACGTGGATTCCTGGGATCCCAACTTCATAAAACTACGAATAAGCTTTTCATGCAACTGCCTAACCGGTTCCAGAGGCCCCAGATCAAGGTGTCATTGCATGAGAAACTCTGGGCTGGAAGAAAGAGACATTGAAATTCGCATTTCAACAGCTGTGCACTGAAGCTACCTTGAAGTGGGAAGAGAGAAGACTTGAGGCATTTCCGGTTGCAGGTGAAAAAGTGTGCAACAGCTGGTCAGCTGCTCCGGCCAGAGTCCCCCCTCCTTCAGGGAGTCCTCCATAGCTGCAAGGCACTCATGGACTCAGCCGGCAGCTCTGGGAATGCCAAAGCGCTCCCCCACCAGGAGGGGCCAACTGCTTTGCTGGGACCCTCAGGGTGGCTGGGGGTCTCCTATGGATGGAAAGGAGGGGTTGTTCATCCAAACCAAGGGCAGGCCGTTGGCTAAACCTCGAAATGGGTGAGCCCTGCACAGTTTCCCACAACCTACTTCTTGGTAAGCTAGAAAAATGTGGGATAGACAAATCACCACCAGATGGATTTGTAGCTGGCTTCTTCTTTCGGAACCATGACACTGTACTCAATGAGTAGTCCTTAATGATACTATATCCACATGGAGGGAAGCAAGCAGTGGGGTACCACAAGGCTCTGTCTTAGGCCCAGGACTCTTCAATATCTTCATAAATGACTTACATGAGGGAATTGAAGGGGAACTCATCAAATTTGCAGATGACACGAAGCTGGCAGGAGTAGCCAACACCCCAGAAGACAGACTCAGGATCCAAAAAGATCTTGACATACTTGGACAATGGGCCTTAACCAACCAAGTTAATTTAATGTGGAGAAGGTTTTACACCGAAGGTACAAGTACAGATTAGGTGAAAACTGGCTCAAAAACAGTAACTGTGAGAGGGACCTTGAAGTCCTAGTGGACCATCATTTGACCATGAACCAGTCATGTGCAGCAGCAGCCAAAAAAGTTAATACAATCCTGGGTTGTATTGTATAAACAGAGGCATAGAATCAAAATCACATGAAGTATTAGTACCACTTTATAAAGCTTTAGTAAGGCCACATCTGGAATATTGCATCCAGTTTAGGTCACTACATTACAAAAAAGAGGTTGAGACTTTGGGAAAAGTGCAAAGAAGAGCAACTAAGATGATTAAAGGCCTTGAGACTAAAACATATGAAGAACGGCTGCAGGATTTGGGAATGGTCAGTCTAGAGCAGGGGTGTCAAACTGGCGGCCCATGCCGGATGCATCATAGCAAAACCACGCCCACCCCATTGCTGGCAATGGGAAAAAAGTTGTGATACGTTGCAACATGTCACATGACGTTGCGAGTTTGACACCCCTGATCTAGAGAAAAGAAGAACTAGGGGAGATATGATAGCAGCACTCCAGTATCTGAGAAGTTGCCACAAAGAAGGGGGGGGGTCAATTTATTTTCCAAAGCACCAGAAGGCAGGACAAGAAACAACGGATGGCAACTAATCAAGGGGAGAAGCAACTTGGAATTAAGGAGAAACCTCCTAACAGGGAGGACAATTAACCAGTGGAACAGAAGTTGCCTCCAGAAGTTATGGTGCTTCATCACTCGAGGTTTTTAAGAAGAGACTGGGCAGCCACTTGTCTGAAATGGTATAGGATCTCCTGTTTGAGCAGGGGGTTGGACTAGAAGACCTCCAAGGTCCCTTCCAGCTCTATTCTGATTCCGTAGCCCCCAAAGCTCCTCCTCAGCTCAATTCGGCTGATTCTACTACTGACGTCTCCCTCCTTCCATAGGCTGAGCCAATCAGACCGTACTGAAGGGGGGGGGGAAGTCTCTCTCCTTAAGCCCAGTAAAACATTGCAGAACAGTCACTTTGTTAAGTAAGGGGGCTGGGGGAAAGCAGATTCCTGCAGCTTTCTTGGATAGGTGGGCATCTTCTTCAACATCCCATCTAGCCTTCAGCTGCCAGGATCCCCTGTGAACCTCCCTCCCAGTGGCAGAAACTGGGCATGATCACGTGCCAGTGGGCACCTCTGGAGGGCTCCCTAGGCAGCTGGCCAGTTAGTGCAGGTGGAATGGGGGGGGGGTGACTAGAATGGCACAGAAGTCCCCAAATTGGGAGAAGGATCCATCTGCTGCTGGATTCCTCCAGAGGCAAAGGGGATCGGCCTGCTGCTGAGCCTGAGTTTGGGGGGGGGGGAATTCTGCCTCTGCTCCAGAAGAAGGCACGGACAGTGCTGGGCCTCCGGGACTGCTTTGGACCAATTGCACAGGGCCCTTTGGTAAACGCACATGCACACACACACACTACCAGTAACCACAAAGATTGGGATAATGAGGGGGGAGGGCAAGAGCAGTCTCCTGGAAATCATTGAACGTTCCTACCCCCCTCCCCCCCAGCAGCTGCTTCTGCCAGGCAGAGCAGAGGAAGGTGCAGAGTCCCTGCGTAGGAGGGTTTGCACACCCTGGGCAGGTACCTGCCAGACAGAACGACAGAGGTTGTTGGCCCCTGCACAGCCTGGGATGGGCCGATGTGTCATCCAGGCGGCGGGGGGGGGGGAGACAAGTGAGAGGGCGGAAACAGGAGAGGGTGGAGAAAAAACAGCTCAGCTTCTCTCGGGACACTTTGCTGGAGCGGCAACAGCGCAGCGGCACACCTGCCTGGCTGAAGGCTTCAGGTAAGCCCGGGACAGAAGAGAGGGAGAGAGGAGTGCTGGGCATCCCAAAGGTGCTTTTTTTTCCATGAGGCAGCTGGACTTTCTTGTCTTTCTTTGAAGAAGTTTCGCTTCTCATCCAAGGAGCTTCTTCAGCTCTGCTGGGCATTGGCGCCCTTGGCAGAGGCGGACAGCAGAGGCGGCGCTCCTTGCCCCAACCTGGCTCCTGCTAGGGGCAGGCAGGCAACCCCCCACCCGCGCAATGAGCAGCTCCAGGGTGTCTTTGGAGCAGCCGCTCAGAGCGCTGGCAGTGCGGTGGGGGGGGGGGAGAGGCTGGGCTTCAAGCAGCCCCAAAGGCTGGTCTGCTGTCTGCTGCGCCGCCGGTCCCTTCCATCCAACCTCACACACTTTCCTCCTGCCCAGCACAAGCTCCCAACTCTGTGCTGGGTCTCTGCCACCGTAGCCCCATTCTTCCACACCCTGGTCCCCGTCCCTGGGAAAGCCTCCCCGGTGGTGTGCCGCTCCTCTTGAGCCTCACCTCTTCGGGCAGGATGGGATCTGTTTCTTGGCAGGCGTGATCGAGAGGGGGGAGGGCACAGCCCAACAGAGACCCCTGGCAGGAAGGGGGGGTTGATTTGGTGCAGCTGGCCATGCAGGGGGCAAAAGGGCACTTGCTGAGCAGCACTTCCAGGCCCTGCCTCTCCGGAGCCCAGCCCAGGAAGGGCAATGAAACCCCCAGCCCAGGGCAGGAATCCACAGAAACCCCTGCAGGGGGGGCTGGAAGGGGGATTAGTGGGTTGGGCCTATTGCCAAAGCCAACATCTGGGCAGAAGCCTCTACTGAAGGCCTTAATCTCATTGTTCCACACACCCCATTTGGAACTAAAGGACGGATCCTGGTCTTTCTGTCTGACAGGCTTTTGGGTATTTGCCATCTCTATTCAAAGTCAATCAAGCTCAGTTCCTTTCCTCCTCCTCCTCCTCCTCCTCCTCCTCCTCCTCCTCCCCCCCCAGCATCTTGTCCCTGATCATCAGCGTTGCCTTCCTATGACCTTTCCCAGTTTCCCTGAGTCCTTCCTGAGGATCGTGCCCAGGATTGGACGCAGCATCCGAGGTGCAGTGTAACCAAAGCACAGCAGTGGGACAGTCGCTTCTTGCAAATTTTGTTTCTGTAGTCTAAAATTGTGTTTGCCTTGTCTGCAGCCACATCACGCTGCTCCTTTGCTGTTTTCTATTCAGTGTACACTCAGTTACCCTTCCACAGTTTTCTTCTTAGTCAAAATGGGTGTCTCAGCCCCCCCCCAAATGGGCTTTCCTTTGAGTTTTGTTCCCTAGAATGGAAAAATGTGGCTTTTGTCTGTATTAAATTTGATTTTGCTAGCTTCAGCCCAATTCTCCCCAACCAGATCCAGTCCTATCAAAAATTTTTATTTTTTCTTCTTCTAGAGTATTAGCCATCCAATCTTGTTCTGTAATCTACAGATTTGAGAAGTGTTCTCCTTACGGGTTTCCCCAGCCATTAATAAATTATGGAAGACCAGAGGACACGGTCCTGAGGCTCCCCCATTTGGTGCCCCTCCCTCATTTCAGGAGGGACCATCATTGAGTGCTCTCTGAGTAGGGTGGTTGAGTCAGCTGAGGTGGTTTGAATATATGCCCACAGTAAAAAGTGACAATGAAGGTTATCTATCTATCTATCTATTATTTATCTATATCTATCTATCTATCTATTATCTATTTATATCATCTATCTATCTATCTATCTATCTATCTATCTATCTATCTATCTATCTATCTATCTATCTATCTATCTATCTATAAAATTCTTCAAAAGAACTTTGAGGCATTGTTTACCTTAAAGAATCTTTTATTCGAGAAACAAAGTGTTGGCACTACATAGTTGAAACCAGAAACTAATTTCCCCTCCCCTGGTTACAAAGTAACAAAGTGCAATTCCCTCTTCCAATAAACAGTCATAAATCACGTTCCCCAATTAACTTGGAGGCAGGCTTCCTCCCCAGCTCGTCAAAACACTATCAGCTCTGGGCCCAATGACAGCTGGGTTCCCATGGCTGAGTCGTTATTGTTATGACTAGCTGGACTCTCATCCCTCTTCCCCCCCCCAGCAGCAACTGACTCTAAAAGCAATAGAGAAAATGGCTGCATTTCCATCTGTTGTCAAAGCAAGAACATCCGAGGTTAGCATTATCTACCTACCTACCTACCTACCATCTATCTGTCCATCCATCCATCTACCTACCTACTTATCATCTATTTATCATCTACCTACCTACCTACCATCCATCCACCTACCTACCTACTTACCTATCCATCCATCCATCCATCCATCCACCTACCTACCTACTTACCTATCCATCCATCCATCTACCTACCTACCTACCTACCTACCTACCTACCTACCTACCTACCTACCTACCTACCTACCTACCTATCTATCTATCTATCTATCTATCTATCTATCCATCCACCAAGGTGGTCAATCCATCTGGGAATGCCTATTTCAGGGTATTCTTTTCCTTTCCAAGCTCAAGACGACTTATGTTTATAGCCTTCCAACAATCCATTATGGAAGTTAGTCAGTCAAAAAAGGAGAAACGGTTAGAGTGGCAAAAGTTGCTGAAAAAAAACACACATGCTGCTAGTCCTCGACTTACAACAGTTCATTTAGTGACCATTCAAAGTTACAAGGGCACTGAAAAAAATGACTTATGTGGTCACGTGATCAAAATTCAGGTGCTCGGCAAGCAGTCCATATTTACGACGGTCGCAGAGTCCCAGGGTCACGTGATCACATCTGGCGACTTTCTTACAAGTAAAGTCAATGAGGAAGCCAGATTCACTTAACAACCAAGTTGTTAACTTACCAACTGCAGAGATTCACTTAACAAGTGTAGCATGAAAGGTCGTAAAATGGGGCAAAACTCACTTAACAAATGTCTCACGTAGCAACAGAAATTTTGGGCCAAATTGTGGCCATTAGGCGAGGGCTGCCTGCACTTCCCGCCTTGCTTTCGAGCTGCTGCTGGAACCCTCACTTTATGACCGGTGCTGGAATCTCCCTGCCCCCTCCCAGGAGGGAGGGAGGGAGGGAGGGGAGTTTTGTTCCATGGACAGCCTCTCCCCCCCTTCATGCCCTCTGGTCACCCGGCCCTTCAGCGATGGCCACACCTTGATCTGACTGGCTGGACAAAGCCACACTGGGGCGCCCAGAGGCCTGCCGGATTCACCGTCTTGTTCAGAAAGTTGCCGCCTTGTGTACTTGTGATGTTGAGGCTGAATCAAGCCCAAGTTGTTGCTTCTGTCCTGCTGGTTCCGAGACTGCCCCCCCCACCTGCTCAGTCCAGGGTTCAAGAAGCCCCCCTCCCCCCCCCGGCCTGTGTTGCGCTCAGCACATCCTCTGTCCCCGCTCCATCCACAGACGCAAGGTGATGCTCTGGATTGTAAGCAGCCAGGTCTTTAGACTTCAGGTGCCCCAACCAGGTGTGATAAATATTTAAAAATGATAAAGTAGCATTTTCATTTTTATAAAAGTTAAAACACCATAGATTTACTGATTAAATCATCGGAATACGAAATAATAATCCTTGTGGAGTCTGGCAGATATATTAGCCATTTCACAGGACAAGCTAAACTCAGACCTGGATTAGCCATGCACCAATGCGTGAAGCCTGTTACAAGAAAAAAGCCACATCACAAACAACAAATGTTTCGTGTAACGTGCTACGATGACCCACTTAACAACCCAAATCCTTTATCAGTGCAGCATTTGTGCAACCTCAGCCATAAAATGGCACCACAGGCTCCCTGGTGGATTGGGGTTGGCAGGAGGGGGGGGGAGCGTGGCTGATCGGAAAGGAGGAAACATTGAAAACCCCCATCCTTACCTACTGAGGGTGCACTGCCCACTGGCAGGCTGCTGCCTGTGCCGCCTCCTTTCGCCTCTGTTCCCTTTTTCTTTCTCCCCACCCCCCACCCCCACCCCATCACAGCCTGAAACTCAAAGGAGAATCGCTTTCCCTGTCCAGGGTCCCAGGAAGGCCCGACTTCCGCCTCTCTTGCAGCCACCTGCCCCCCCCCCATAAGCCTTATTGTTCCGCTCCACCAAAACCAACTTGGCTTCCTTTGCCCAGACACTTTGGCATTCCTTATAATGAGCAATCTTCATTCTAATTGCATTTGAATTAGGAAAAAAACCCACATAATTACAGAGTGATTTACCTGCTAAAAGGCGGGCCTTCTGCAGCTATCCTATGGGGTAAGGGAACACCCTGAGCAGGTGGCCAGGCAGGTTTCTCCCCCCCCCCACTGCCTAAGCCTCCCAGCTGGCCAGCTTTCTCTCCCTCTTTCTCAGGCTCAGAGCCCAGCTCTGCTCTCTCCTAGCTCGGGGAGCCTCCAGCTCAGGAGTTCTGTTCTGCGCCTGCAATTGCCTCCCCCCCCCCCCACCTCGCCTCCTGCTAAATCCCCTGGGCAGCGCCCGGAAGTGCAGGTGCTGCCTCCTGTCCCGGGCTGAGAAAGCCGGAGAGCAGCAGGGAAGGGGAATGGCAGGCGTGGGGTGGGGTGGGGGGCTTCAGCGATTAATTTGGTGCCCTGCTCCAGGCCCCAACCAGAGCCCTCTGTGGCCTCCGTGGAATCTTCTTGCTACCCCACGCAAAGGTTAAGGCTTACCCTCCCCCAAGCCCGGCCGGCCTCTGGGTTGCTGGGCTCCCCGGGCCCCCCCAGCACAAGTCGGGCAGACTGGCCGGTCCACCCAGCTGCTTGCCAAACGCAGCGCTCCTTCTCTGGAGCCAAAGGGCGCCGGGGGCTTCTCCAGCAAGGGGCATTTGTCCAAATGGGACAGAGGAAAGAGCGCTCAGCCCGCCCTCGCCCCCCCCCTTCGGCCAATACGTCTTCCCCTCCGGAGGGGGAGCCGCGAAGGGCTCGTAGGACCGGACCGGCCTTCCGGGGCTCCTGTGCGCACCAGCGGGCCGGTTGGCGGCGCGGAGGAGTGTGAGGGGCTGGGGAGCCCGCGGTTTCCCCTCGGATGCGCCGGGCGAGGGCGGGCGACCAAGTAGCAGATGGACGGGTGGAGCCGACCCGTCCTCGCGCTTCCCGGAGCCTCCTTGTCTCCCGACAGGACGCGCTGCTTCGGGTTGTCGGAGGAAGGCCCGCGAGCGCTCACCACCGGCCAGCTGGGCGCTTTGGTGACCCCCCCCCAGGGGAGGCGAGGTCTCCGCCGGCCTGGGAGCCCGGTAGCGGGAGGAGCGGCAGGGGAGGGCGAGTGGAGCTGAAACCCCCTTTTTCGGGACAGATGGTCAGGTGGAAAGCGCTCGATTCACCAAAACGACGGGCACGGCGCGGAGAGCTGAAAAGTGGCGCTCCGACCCCACCGCGGACTTAACCAGTTTGGCGCAGGCCTCTCTGCAGACTGCCAGCTAAGCGGCTGGATTTCAACCCCGCCGAGTCTCCTGGGGTTGCCAGAGAACCGCACCAGTTTGCTTGGCTGGGCTTTCTCTTGGGCAAGCCCCCCCCCAAATGTTGCCTACCGCCTGTCTTTCTAGGAGCACCAGAGCCATGGGGGGGAGGGAGCCACGTGGGGAGAGGCAGCAAAAGGGCGGAGGTGCCTGGGGAAGGTTGGAGCTGGCAGCCTTCAGCCCCCAACCAGGCTGGGGAACTCCTGGAAGCAGCCACCACCGTCCCCTTCGGTCCCCATCCGAATGCACAGCCCTGTGCCCACCTGGGCTGCCCGTGCTCCTCCTCAGTCTCTGGCGGGGTTGCCCTTTCCTGAAGGACTGCTTTGTGGATGGGCAGCAGCTGGTCAGGTGGACCCCAACAGGACAGGGTGAAACGCGGCAAAAGAAAAAAAATCCCGTGCTGATGCTGCCTGCCCCTCCTCCCCCCACCTAAAGACTCTTCGCCACCCACCCAGTAGATAAGAGTCTCAGGAAGGGGGGGGGAGCTCTGGGGAAGGTTGGAGCTGGCAGTTGTGGGTCAGTCGGGTGCTTTTCTCTGCTGGAGGAAGGGGGGGGGAGAACAGAACCTGTGGCCTCCCCAATGCAGACCCCGCTTGCTCTGCTCCGAGAGCAAAAGAAAGGAGGTACCATTGCGTACACCCCTTCCAGGAACACCTCTGAGCACCGGGACTGGCATCACCTAACTAAATCATCCCTGGCAAGCTGAGGGCCAAGTTCAATGCCTGCTGGAGGGTTGGAACCCCACAGAATAAGGGCTCCACCTTTGAGGACTCCCAACGGGACAAAGCTGGCTGTGTGGGGCCTCCTGGTGGTCAAAATAAACGTTAGAATGAAAGTCTGTCCATTCTTGAATAAGCTTTTTAAAATCTGGTTAAGGCTGCAGCTACGTATCACAGATCTGAGTGGGAGGACTAAAGTTGGACAGAAAGACAGGAAGTTGGAAAGCTCCCAAGAGCCCTGATAAATAGGCTGAGACTATAGAAGAGTGGTGGCGAACCTACGGCACGGGTGCCAGAGGTGGCACTCAGAGCCCTCTCTGTGGGCACACGCGCCGTTGGCCCAGTCCTAGGCCTTCAGCTGGGTTTTATAAAACCTTTTTGCTTTAGGCCTCCGCCGTGTGCAAAAAAAAAAAAAAAATCAATCAGTCAATTTCAACTTCTTGTGGAAAAAAAAAAGATCTTGCAAAGTTGGAATTGATTGATTGAACTTTTTAGTCCCACCCAGTCTGCCGTTACCACTGCAGCCACACCCATCCAATGGGCCACACCCACCCAATGGGCCACACCCACCCAATGGGCCACACCCACCCATCACTCAACGATGCATAAGTGGCTTTTGGGTTGCAGTTTGGGCACTCAGTCTCTAAAAGGTTCGCTATCACTGCTATAGAACGACTGAGTCCATCCTTTGTACTCCTGCCTTGGACAGGGGGTTGGACTAGAAGACCTCCAAGATCCCTTCCAGCCCTACGATTGTGTGAAACAGAGCAAGATGGCTAGTGAACTGATCAGCAGCACAGCCCGGACATTGCCTGCAGTTCTTCTGGACATATGCCAGCCTGGCCAGAAAAGCAATTGACCCTTTGCCACGTGGCTCCTCTCTCCTGCAGCATCCACGGAGGCAGGGAGGGATCTGTTCCAGGGAGGGTGGGAAAAGGCTGGGGGGCAAGAGAGGGGTGTGGAAAGCACCTCTCTGGGGCAGGTCTCCATCTTCTGGAGTTCTGCTCAATTATGGGTGTCTCCTGTTCCCTGCTTCCCACCTGGAGCTGAGCACCGGTTATTGTGGTCCTCGGATTCACATCTCTGTCCTGGGAGGAACAGCTTTTTATGATCCCTTTTGATTTCACACACTCCCCCCCTTTTTTTGCAGGACACCAGACCCACTTACAGCCTTGGGCCACAGCGGATTTATTCATTTATTTATTTGGGAAACATGCATCGTTTGCCTGAGCACCATTATCCTCTTCCCTCCCTGCCTAGAATCAGTTTAGGCAACTTCGCTCATTGAGACAATAGGAAAAAGGGAGTTTGAACGGAGCCTCCGTTCTTCAACACAGAATGCCCACGCGTGCCCCTCCCCAGCCAAACTCCCCCTCGCTTTCTGGACACGTGGGGTCATTGCTCAAGCTGAAAACTGGGCAGGGAAGGGGCCATGTGCATTCAACAAGCCTCCCTAGCCGAACCAGACAGTGGCCCTACAGAAAGTGAGTGGTGCCCTTACGTGGCTATGGGAAGGGATACGGGATCAATCTCACAACACTCACTCTATGGGGCACCCCAGCTGTTGTCCCTGGCCACAGCTTAAAGACTCTGAGTCCCATCTCTGAAACCAGTTTCTGTGGAATCAAACACAGGACCCAAAAAGCTAATCATCAAGGCTCACCGCAGTATGTTCTGTTATCTATTTAACAGTGCGCCCTGAAGGAATTCCCTCTGGAATATAATGACAGAGGCTCCTGCAGGCAGGTGGATTGATTTGCATTCATACATTTCAGGAAAAGAGGAGAAAAATCATAGTCATACATATGTGTAGGTAATAGTTGTTATAAGCATGAATATTCATAATTGGCAAACCTCAAATTACTTTCCCGGCCTTCAACTATCACCATCCTCAAGAAAGATTGTCTTAATAAGAAGAAACATCAATTTTGGTAAAGCACCCTGAAAACCAAGACTGTCCCAATTAGCGTACTTTCCTTCCAGGTTTCCACTTGCATCCACTGCTCCAAAAACTTTGTTTTCCTCATGGTGCCTTTCCTTTCTCTCTCTGCAGGACCCCACTGACCATCGCAGGAGGCTCAGCAGCAGCAGCAGCAGCAGCAGCAATGGAAGCCACACGGCCAACTGGCTCAACGGCCCCTGACATCAGAAGCATCTCGGGAGTCTTTGTGGAGGGTTCTGGCAAGACCACAAGTCTGGCACAAGCTCTCCAGGACCATCTGATCCAACTGGATGTTGCCCTGGCCCTGCTGGAAGCCCAGGCAGCCACAGGTGGCATTGTTGACCCTGTGGGTGAGCAGCTCCTCCCTGTGGCGGAGGCCCTGGTGGTGGGACTGGCAGGGCTGGAAATGAAGGAGAAGCTGTTGCACGCAGAGCGGGCAGTGATGGGCTTCCCTGACCCTTACACAGAGGAGAAGATCTCCCTCTACCAAGCCATCCAAAAAGAGCTGATTGGAAGAAAGCTGGGCCTCCGTCTCCTGGAAGCCCAGATAGCCACAGGAGGGGTCATTCAGCCTGTTTCTGGCCATCGCGTCCCTCTGCCAGAGGCCTACGCACGGGGCTACTTGGACGAGGGCTTGAGCAACTCCCTCTCTGATCCAGAGAACCAGGAGGCCAAGGGCTTCAGGGATCCTAATACTGACCAGATGGTCACCTACACAGAACTGATGAGAAGATGCGTGGCAGACCCAGCCAGAGGCCTGCTCTTGCTGCCTCTCAAGATCTCTTTCCCTGGACTGAGAGGGGCTGTGTGTAGCCAGGAGCTGCTGAATTCTGGAGTCATTGACGCCGCCGTGTTTGAAGCCCTCCAGAAGGGGGAGGTGACCATGCGGGAAGTGGCAGAGATAGATTCGGTGCAACAATCCACGTCGGAGATCGCCAGCATCGCTGGAGTAGCCATCCTGCCCACAAACGAATGCAAGAGTCTCTACCAGGCTTTAGTAGAGCATCTCCTCCCTCCTGGCGCAGCTGAAATTCTAATGCAGGCTCAGGTGGCCTCCTCGGGCTATTTAATCGACCCTGTCAAGAATGCCAAATTCACTGTGGCTGAGGCCGTCCAGGCAGGAGTTGTTGGGCCAGAGCTCTTTGGGAAACTGACTTCAGCTGAGAGGGCCGTCACAGGATACAAGGATCCCTACACAGGGGAGACCATCTCTTTGTTTCAAGCCGTGCAGAAACACCTGGTGCCCAGGAACCCAGGCCTTTGCCTGCTGGATGCTCAGCTCGCCACTGGAGGCGTCATTGACCCAGATGCCCATCACCGGCTTCCTACAAGGGTGGCCCTGCAGAGGGGCCACTTAGATGAAGAGACATACAGCCTCCTCTGCAACCCCACGGAGGAGGCCCGTGGGTTCTTTGAGCCCAACTCAAAGGAGAGATTGTCCTATGGGGAGCTGCTCTTGCGGTGTGTCTCTGATCCGGACACCGGTCTCTGCCTCTTGCCTCTTTCTGGAGATCAGGAGACGATTCATACCTTCATTGACCACAATACGAAGCTGGCCCTGAAAAACACTACGATGTCTGTGGCCTCTGGTAGGTTCAAGGGAAGGCCTGTATCCCTCTGGAAGCTCCTCTTCTCGGAATACCTGACGGGAGAGCAAAGGAGAGCCCTTACCCAGCAATTCTCCTCCGGGTCCCTTTCCACTCAGCAGCTGGCTGACAAAATCCGCCTTGTGGTGGAGCAAACCACTGCCGATTCCCGAGTCATCTTTGAAGGCTTGAGGGAAAAGGTGACACCTGCCCAGCTCCTGAGCTCTGAAATCATCAATAGAGACTTATTTGAGAAGCTAACGCAGGGAGAGACTCTGGTCAAAGAGGTGATTAGCATGGGCACAGTGAAGAAATACCTGGAAGGGACTGGTAGCATTGGAGGGCTGCTCCTGCCCGACTCCCAGGAGAGAATGACAATCTACGAAGCCAAGAGGAAGGGCTTCCTCCGTCCAGGAACAGCGCTGATCCTTCTGGAGGCTCAGGCGGCCACAGGACACATCATTGACCCTGTGGCCAATCAGAGATATTCCGTGGACGAGGCCTTGCGGGGCAACATCATTGGTCCAGATATGTACAGCAAGTTGCTGGCTGCTGAGAAAGCAGTGACTGGCTATAAGGACCCTTATACTGGGAACAAGATCTCCCTTTTCCAGGCCATGAAAAAAGACCTCATTGTCAAAGAACATGCCATTCGCCTTCTGGAGGCCCAAATTGCCACCGGAGGCGTCATCGATCCCGTCAACAGTCATCGCCTCCCAGTGGAAGTGGCCTATAAGCGGGGCTTTTTTGAGAAGAAGATGAGCCTGATCCTGTCAGATCCCAATGATGACACCAAAGGCTTCTTTGACCCAAACACGCATGAGAACCTAACTTACCTGCAGTTAAAGGAGAAGTGCATTGTGGAGCCCACCACGGGCCTCTGCCTCCTGCCACTCAACAGCAAAAAGCACCAACCCCTGGATGATGCCACCAAGCAGGCTTTCAGGAGCTCCTGGCTCTTTGTCAAACATGGGCGCTTCCAAGGACAAAGAGTCTCCCTGTGGGACCTGCTGAACTCGGAGTATTTCAGTGAGGGAAAGAGAAAGGAAGTCTTCAACCACTATGGCCTTCGGAAGGTCACCCTGGAGGAGATTTGCCTCGCTTTGGAAGAGGAAATGAAAAAATGGGCTTGCATCCAGTTCCCGGCCCTCAGAGGGAAAGTCAGCGCTTACCACCTGCTGGAAAGAGGCATCATTGACCGGGCTCTCTTTGAGGAGATCCTAGATGGAGGGGTGAGCCCAGAGGACGTCCTGCGCCTGGATTCAGTCCGAAGGTACCTCTACGGCACGGGGAGCATCGGGGGAATTCTGCTGCAGCCCTCCAATGAGAGACTGAGCCTCTATGAAGCCATGAAGAGGGACATGGTGGTTCCCAGTGTTGCCCTGCCCTTGCTGGAGGCCCAAGCAGCTACTGGATTCCTTGTAGATCCTGTGAGCAGCCAGAGACTCTCCCTGGATGATGCGGTGAAGAAAGGCCTGGTTGGCCCTGAGCTTTATGAGGTATTGCAGCAGGCTGAAGAAGCTGTCACGGGCTACAGGGACCCCTTCACCGGCAAGATCATCTCCCTCTTCCAAGCAATGAAGAAAGGCCTTTTGGCCGACAGGAAAGCCAGGCAGCTGATGGATGCCCAGCTGGCTACTGGGGGGGTCATGGACCCACACAGCGGCCACTATGTCCCCATAGAATTTGCCCAGAAAAATGGCTATCTCGATGAGGAGTTCAGGAAAACCTTTTCCAACGCGAGCAGTGACTCCAAGGCTTTCAGCACCCTGGACAGGAAAGAGAGGGTCAGCTATGGCCAGTTGATGGACAGGTGTCTGAAGGAGGCACATTCGGGCATTCGCCTCTTGCCTCTGGCAGAAACAGCTTCTGCTCCCTACACTGAAGAACAGATCCAGCAGCGCTTTAAGGAGACCTTTGTGGAGAACAAGGGGGTCTCTCTCTGGGACCTTCTCAGTTCCAGTTACTTCACTGAGGAGCAGAAGTCAGGCTTTTTGGAGAAGTACAGCTCCGGAGCAGTTTCCCTCCACCAGCTGGTCAGCCTTGTCCAGGAGGGTATTGATGACATAGAAATGAAAGCCAAGGTGCAGGTCACTTTCCAAGGCCTGAGAGGTGCAGTGCCAGCCGTCTGGCTCCTGGACGTAGGCATCCTTTCAGAGAAGACATTTGCTGAGCTGGCCCAGGGCAAGAGATCTCCCAGAGAAGTCTCTGAGATGGAAAGCATCAAGCCGTACCTGCAGGGCACAGGCAGCATTGCTGGAGTTTTCGTTCAGTCCTCCAAAGAAAAAATGGGCATTTACCAAGCTATGCAGGAAAGGCTCCTCCTGCCAGGAGTGGCGGCACAGCTGCTCAGTGCCCAGGCAGCCACTGGCTCCATCATGGACCCGGCGTCTAATCAGAAGTTTGGCGTTGAGGATGCCATCAAAAGTGGCATCGTGGGAGAAGAGCTGATGGAAGAGCTGCTGCAAGCTGAGAAAGCGGTAAGTGGCTTCCCTGACCCCTACTCAGGGAAACCAATCTCAGTGTGCCAGGCTATTAGGAAGGAGCTCCTCCCTGCCAGGGTGGGCATCCCCATGCTTGAGGCTCAGCTGGCCACCGGAGGAATCATCGACCCTGTTCATGGCCACCACCTGCCCCTCGGAGCGGCCTTCAAGCATGGCTTGATAGATGAAGAAATGCAGAGGACTCTTTCTCAGGACAGCAAGGAGAGCCAGGTTTTCTTTGACCCGAATGCCCAGGAGAGCCTGACCTATCAGCAGCTGAAGGACAGATGCATCCAGGATCCTGTGATGGGGCTCTGGCTTCTCCCACTGTCCAAAGAGGCAGCTTTTTATGGAGACCCACAAGCCATGGAAGTGCTGAAATCTTTCTCCGTCTCAGTCAGCACTGGGAGGTTTAAAGGACAAGACGTTTCTCTCTGGGACTTGCTCCACTCTGAGTACATCCCGGACGCCAAGCGGAGAGAGCTGATGCTGAGATACAAAGAAACGCACGAGGAGCTCCTTCAAGAAATGGCATCATCCATCAAGAAGATCATCGAAGAGACGGAGCAGCAAGGCAAGAGGTTCACTTTCAAAGGCCTAAGAAAGAAGGTGTCAGCCAGCGACCTCTTCCAGTCCCAGCTCATAGACATGACAACCCTGGACGAACTCAGGCAGGGGAAGACAACGGTCCAGGAAGTCAGCGAGATGGATTCCGTCAAGCGCTTTCTGGAGGGGTGCAACTTCATTGCGGGGGTCCTCATAGAACCAGACCGTGAAAAAATGAGCCTCTACCAAGCCATGAGGCAGGGTCTGCTGAGACCAGGGGCAGCTCTGGTCTTGCTGGAGGCCCAGGCAGCCACCGGGTACCTCATTGACCCAGTGAAAAACAAGAAGCTCTCGGTGGACGAAGCAGCAGCAGCAGGGCTGATTGGAAGAGAAATCTACGAGAAGCTGCTGAGTGCAGAAAAAGCCGTCACAGGATACACAGATCCTTATACCAAGGGGCAGATCTCCCTCTTTGAGGCCATGAATCAGGAGCTGATTGTGAGGAGCCATGGCATCCGCCTGCTGGAGGCGCAGATTGCCACGGGGGGCATCATCGACCCCGTGCACAGCCACCGCATCCCAGTGGAGGTTGCATATAAGCGAGGCTACTTTGATGAAGACCTGAACCGCATCCTTCTGGACCCCACGGATGATACCAAGGGCTTTTTTGACCCCAATACTCATGAGAACCTCACCTACCTGCAGCTTCTGGAACGCTGCATCCAAGATTCAGAAAGTGGGCTGTACATGCTGCAGATCGTCAGAAGAGGGGAAACCTACTTCTACATTGACGAGGCAACAAAAGAGTTTTTGAGAACGCAGACCATGAAAGTACAGATAGGCCGGTATAAAGACCAAGTGGTCTCTGTGTGGAGCCTCCTCTGCTCCCCATATATCCAGGAACAGAAGAGGAAAGACCTGGTCAGGCAGTATAAGGGTGAGGAGCTCAGTTTGCCACAGCTCTGCAAAACCATCACCACTATTGTGGAGGAAACAGAACAAGCAAACCAGAAGCTCAAGCTAAAGGGACTGAGGGGGCAAGAGGTGTCTGCTGCAGAGCTCTTCAATGCAGAAATCATCGACAAGGTGACCTTGGACAGACTGCACCTGCTGAGCCTTCCTCTGCAACAGCTCACCCAGATGGACATTGTGAAGCGCTACCTGGAGGGGACAGGCTGCATTGCGGGTGTCGTGGTGGCTGGCCAGGGGCTGAAGCTGCTTGCCTATGAGGCCATGAAGAGAGGCTTTCTCTCCCCAGAACATGCTCTGCTATTACTGGAGGCGCAGGCTGCCACAGGGCTCCTTACTGACCTGGTTGAGGAAAAGGCCCTCTCGGTTGACCAGGCCATCTCTCTTGGGCTGGTTGGGGAAGAGTTTCACAAGGCGCTCCTCCTTGCTGAGAAAGCCGTTATTGGACACACTGACCCCTCCACAGGAGACAAAGTCTCCCTTTTCCAAGCCATGAAAAGAAACCTGGTGGAGAAAGCCCATGCCCTCCGGCTGCTGGAGGCACAGATGGCCACAGGCGGCATCATTGACCCCATACATAGTCACCGCCTCCCTGTGGAGGTGGCTTGCAGACGGGGCTACTTGGATGAAGAAACATTCCTCTTGCTGTCTGATGAGGGCCTTGTTCCCAAAGGATTTGTGGATCCCAATACCCAGGAAAGGATCACTTACACTCAGCTCCTACTCAGGTGCATCAAAGATACAAAGACAGGTGCATACCTGCTGCCCTTACTAGAGAAGAGGGAGTACATCTTTGTGGATGAAAAAACTAAGTGCGTCCTCTCATCTTGCAAAATAAAAGTAGGCCTAGGGAAATACAAAGGACAGTCCATTTCTCTTTGGGAACTTCTTTCTTCAGACTACGTTACAAAAGAAATGCAGAAGGAGATGATTAAAAAATATAAAGAGGGAGGCTTTGCAGTTTTGCGGAGCATCACAAGTGAAATACTGAAGATAATAGAGGAAACAGAAGACCACAGAAAAGACATATGGTTTCAAGGACTACGGAGGCAAGTCACAGCTTCTGAACTACTAAAGGCGGACATCATTAATGAAGAAACTATGAAAAATTTGCAGGCAGGAAAAGAGAGAGTGCAGGCTGTAGCCAAGATGGATTCGGTGAAGAGATACCTGGAAGGCACCAACTGCATCGCTGGTGTGATGGTGCCTTCCAGGACAGACCCTTCCAGATCAGAGAAGATGACCATCTACCAGGCCATGTGGAAAGGCATTCTGAGGCCAGGCACGGCCCTGGTATTGCTGGAGGCACAGGCTGCCACGGGCTTCATCATCGACCCATCGACAAATGAGAGATTCTCTGTAAGTCAGGCAGTAGAAGCTGGTGTCGTAGGGGAACAAATACAGAAAAAGCTGCTTTGTGCAGAGAGAGCCGTGACAGGTTATACAGATCCAAACACAGGAAAAAGCATTTCCCTCTTCCAAGCAATGAAAAAGGAATTAATCTTAAAAGAGCATGGGATCCGCCTGCTGGAAGCCCAGATTGCCACGGGTGGCATCATCGATCCTGTGCACAGTCACCGCCTCCCCGTGGAAGTAGCGTATAAGCGGGGCTACTTTGATGAAGAAATGAACCGGATCCTCTCAGATCCCACAGATGACACCAAGGGATTCTTTGACCCAAACACACACGAAAACCTCACTTACCTGCAGCTTCTGCAGCGGTGCCTGCCCGATCCGGAGACTGGTTTGCTGCTGCTCCACATCATGGACAAAGGTTGGTTCTCCTCTTTCCTCAACAAGAACACCAGGAAGGCTTTGCAGACGGCCAAGACCAAGATCGGTGTGGGGCTCTTCCAGAACCAAGAGGTTTCTACGTGGGATCTCCTCTTCTCCAGATACATCCTTCCATGCAAGAGACAGGACTTGCTGAGGCAGTACAAAGCAGGCACAGTGACACTTGAGCACCTCACCCAAAATCTTATCGCCATTGTCACCGAGGAAGAAGAAAAGAGGATGACGGTAAAGAGTCCAGATCAACAGACGGCGCCAGATCACCAGACTCTGAGGGCTTCCTCCTTAGACCCGGCAAACTGGGAAAGTGCCCTGCGCTCTGAACTCCTCCCAGCACCTTCCGCTGAACAACAGGTCTCCGCCTGGGAGCGCTTTGCAGAGCACGAACGGGAAGAGCTTCTGAGCAGATACAGGAGGGGCAGCCTCCCCTTAAGGAGCTCACAAAGCTTCTCATCGACCGCCTTCCCAGGACCACAAGCAGCAAACGTCATCTTTCCACAGACTTCCACGCACCCAGCTCCAGTGGCAAGGCTGAAGAGACCAAAGAAGAGGGGGAAGATGATGCTGCTGACCTGGGAGACAAAGAGGAGGCTTTGAAGTCCCGAATGGTGGAGGTCACCGCTGCGGCATTTCACGGGCGTAAAGTGTCGGTGTGGGAGGTGCTTCATTCCAAGTACATCCCTGAAGAGAAAAGGAAAGAGCTTCTACAACTATACCAATCGGGCATCCTCACCATTGACCAGATGGAGACCGTGGTCTCCGCCATTGTCAATAAGACAGAGGAAATGAAAAAGACAGAACCGTCCCACGCTCCTTTTTCTTCTGGCTCCTGGGAGGGTCCCTTGCGCAACCAGAACGTGACCCTGCAAGTTGGCGAGTTCCAAGGACAGAGAGTCTCCCTCTGGGAACTCCTCTTCTCCCAAAGCATTCCAGAAAGCCAAAGAGAGGAGCTGCTGATGAAATATCGATTGGGATCCTTGACCATTCAGGAAATGATCACCACCCTGACCTTGCTTCACGCCAAGGACAGGGCTTCTTCCCCAGGAGAGGAAGCCACTCTTTCCTCCCAGCACAATGAACTGGAACAAACTTTGCGACAGGTGACCATAGACGTGCCTGTGGGTGAGTTTCAAGGCTCCAGACGATCAGCGTGGGAGCTCCTCTTCTCCAAGTACGTGACTGCGGCCAAGCGCCAGGAGCTGTTGCAGAAGTACCAAGAGAGGTCTGTGGCCCCAGGCGAGCTGGTCCAAATACTCATCACCCTGATTGAAGAGATGGAAGAGAAGGGCAACCAGCTGAAATTCTCGGGGCTCAGGAAGCAGGTGTCAGCCTCAGAACTGTTTGACTCCCGCATCATCAACCAAGACACGCTCTCTGAGCTTGCACAAGGCACCAAAACGGTGGAAGAGGTCACAGAAATGGATTCGGTGAAGAGGTATCTGGAAGGCAACAGCTGCATCGCTGGCGTGATGGTGCCATCCAGGACAGACCCTTCCAAGTCAGAGAAAATGACCATCTACCAGGCCATGTGGAAAGGCATTCTGAGGCCAGGCACGGCCCTGGTGTTGCTGGAGGCACAGGCCGCCACGGGCTTCGTCACCGACCCCCTGGGGAACAAAAAACTCTCTGTCGATGACGCTGTCTCCGTTGAACTGGTGGGAGCCGAGCTGCGGGAGAAGCTTCTGTCTGCAGAGAGGGCTGTGACCGGCTATAAGGACCCCTATACGGGGAACAAGCTCTCCCTCTTCCAGGCCATGAAGAAAGGTCTCATAGTCAAAGAGCACGGGATCCGCCTGCTGGAAGCCCAGATTGCCACGGGTGGCATCATCGATCCTGTGCATAGTCACCGCCTCCCCGTGGAAGTAGCGTTCAAGCGGGGCTACTTTGATGAGGAAATGAACCGGATCCTCTCTGATCCCACAGACGACACCAAGGGCTTCTTTGACCCAAACACACACGAAAACCTCACTTACCTGCAGCTTCTGCAGCGGTGCCTGCCCGATCCGGAGACTGGTTTGCTGCTGCTCCACCTCATGGACAAGGGCTGGTTCTCCTCTTTCCTCAACGAGAACACCAGGAAGGCTTTGCAGATGGCCAAGACCAAGATCGGCGTGGGGCTGTTCCAGGACCAAGAGGTTTCTGTGTGGGATCTCCTCTTCTCCAGATACATCCTTCTGTCCAAGAGGCAGGACTTGCTGAGGCAGTACAAAGCAGGCACCGTGACACTTGAGCGCCTCACCCAAATCCTCATCGCCATTGTCACCGAGGCAGAGGAAAAGAGCGCCAGGCCCATCGGTCACAAAGAAGCTCCCAACAAACCAACCACAACAGCAGATGCTGCCATGGATCAACCAAGCCTTGGAGAGCCCTGGATGAGGACCCTTGAGTCGACAACTGTGGAGATCCCTGCAGGTGACCGCCAAGGGCAGAGGGTCACTCTGTGGGACCTGCTCTTCTCAAACAACATCTCTGAGGAAAAGAGGACAGAGTTACTGGACTTGTACAAAAGTGGGCTGCTGTCCACGGAGCGGCTCATCAGGATCCTCCCCACACTGGTTGTCAGAAAGGAAGCCACCGGCAGGAAGCTCGATGTGACGGTGAGGAGTCCAGATCAAGAGACGGCGCCAGATCACCAGACTCTGAGGGCTTCCTCCTTAGACCCGGCAAACTGGGAAAGTGCCCTGCGCTCTGAACTCCTCCCAGCACCTTCCGCTGAACAACAGGTCTCCGCCTGGGACATCCTGTTCTCCGAGCGCTTTGCAGAGCACGAACGGGAAGAGCTTCTGAGCAGATACAGGAGGGGCAGCCTTCCCCTTAAGGAGCTCACAAAGCTTCTCATCGACCGCCTTCCCAGGACCACAAGCAGCAAACGTCATCTTTCCACAGACTTCCACGCACCCAGCTCCAGTGGCAAGGCTGAAGAGACCAAAGAAGAGGGGGAAGATGATGCTGCTGACCTGGGAGACAAAGAGGAGGCTTTGAAGTCCCGAATGGTGGAGGTCACCGCTGCGGCATTTCACGGCGTAAAGTGTCGGTGTGGGAGGTGCTTCATTCCAAGTACATCCCTGAAGAGAAAAGGAAAGAGCTTCTACAACTATACCAATCGGGCATCCTCACCATTGACCAGATGGAGACCGTGGTCTCCGCCATTGTCAATAAGACAGAGGAAATGAAAAAGACAGAACCGTCCCACGCTCCTTTTTCTTCTGGCTCCTGGGAGGGTCCCTTGCGCAACCAGAACGTGACCCTGCAAGTTGGCGAGTTCCAAGGACAGAGAGTCTCCCTCTGGGAACTCCTCTTCTCCCAAAGCATTCCAGAAAGCCAAAGAGAGGAGCTGCTGATGAAATATCGATTGGGATCCTTGACCATTCAGGAAATGATCACCACCCTGACCTTGCTTCACGCCAAGGACAGGGCTTCTTCCCCAGGAGAGGAAGCCACTCTTTCCTCCCAGCACAATGAACTGGAACAAACTTTGCGACAGGTGACCATAGACGTGCCTGTGGGTGAGTTTCAAGGCTCCAGACGATCAGCGTGGGAGCTCCTCTTCTCCAAGTACGTGACTGCGGCCAAGCGCCAGGAGCTGTTGCAGAAGTACCAAGAGAGGTCTGTGGCCCCAGGCGAGCTGGTCCAAATACTCATCACCCTGATTGAAGAGATGGAAGAGAAGGGCAACCAGCTGAAATTCTCGGGGCTCAGGAAGCAGGTGTCAGCCTCAGAACTGTTTGACTCCCGCATCATCAACCAAGACACGCTCTCTGAGCTTGCACAAGGCACCAAAACGGTGGAAGAGGTCACAGAAATGGATTCGGTGAAGAGGTATCTGGAAGGCAACAGCTGCATCGCTGGCGTGATGGTGCCATCCAGGACAGACCCTTCCAAGTCAGAGAAAATGACCATCTACCAGGCCATGTGGAAAGGCATTCTGAGGCCAGGCACGGCCCTGGTGTTGCTGGAGGCACAGGCCGCCACGGGCTTCGTCACCGACCCCCTGGGGAACAAAAAACTCTCTGTCGATGACGCTGTCTCCGTTGAACTGGTGGGAGCCGAGCTGCGGGAGAAGCTTCTGTCTGCAGAGAGGGCTGTGACCGGCTATAAGGACCCCTATACGGGGAACAAGCTCTCCCTCTTCCAGGCCATGAAGAAAGGTCTCATAGTCAAAGAGCACGGGATCCGCCTGCTGGAAGCCCAGATTGCCACGGGTGGCATCATCGATCCTGTGCATAGTCACCGCCTCCCCGTGGAAGTAGCGTTCAAGCGGGGCTACTTTGATGAGGAAATGAACCGGATCCTCTCTGATCCCACAGACGACACCAAGGGCTTCTTTGACCCAAACACACACGAAAACCTCACTTACCTGCAGCTTCTGCAGCGGTGCCTGCCCGATCCGGAGACTGGTTTGCTGCTGCTCCACCTCATGGACAAGGGCTGGTTCTCCTCTTTCCTCAACGAGAACACCAGGAAGGCTTTGCAGATGGCCAAGACCAAGATCGGCGTGGGGCTGTTCCAGGACCAAGAGGTTTCTGTGTGGGATCTCCTCTTCTCCAGATACATCCTTCTGTCCAAGAGGCAGGACTTGCTGAGGCAGTACAAAGCAGGCACCGTGACACTTGAGCGCCTCACCCAAATCCTCATCGCCATTGTCACCGAGGCAGAGGAAAAGAGCGCCAGGCCCATCGGTCACAAAGAAGCTCCCAACAAACCAACCACAACAGCAGATGCTGCCATGGATCAACCAAGCCTTGGAGAGCCCTGGATGAGGACCCTTGAGTCGACAACCGTGGAGATCCCTGCAGGTGACCGCCAAGGGCAGAGGGTCACTCTGTGGGACCTGCTCTTCTCAAACAACATCTCTGAGGAAAAGAGGACAGAGTTACTGGACTTGTACAAAAGTGGGCTGCTGTCCACGGAGCGGCTCATCAGGATCCTCCCCACACTGGTTGTCAGAAAGGAAGCCACCGGCAGGAAGCTCAATGTGACGGTGAGGAGTCCAGATCAAGAGACGGCGCCAGATCACCAGACTCTGAGGGCTTCCTCCTTAGACCCGGCAAACTGGGAAAGTGCCCTGCGCTCTGAACTCCTCCCAGCACCTTCCGCTGAACAACAGGTCTCCGCCTGGGACATCCTGTTCTCCGAGCGCTTTGCAGAGCACGAACGGGAAGAGCTTCTGAGCAGATACAGGAGGGGCAGCCTTCCCCTTAAGGAGCTCACAAAGCTTCTCATCGACCACCTTCCCAGGACCACAAGCAGCAAACGTCATCTTTCCACAGACTTCCACACACCCAGCTCCAGTGGCAAGGCTGAAGAGACCAAAGAAGAGGGGGAAGATGATGCTGCCGACCTGGGAGACAAAGAGGAGGCTCTGAAGTCCCGAATGGTGGAGGTCACCACTGCGGCGTTTCACAGGCGTAAAGTGTCGGTGTGGGAGGTGCTTCATTCCAAGTACATCCCTCAGGAGAAAAGGAAGGAGCTTCTACAACTATACCAATCGGGCATCCTCACCATTGACCAGATGGAGACCGTGGTCTCCGCCATTGTCAATAAGACAGAGGAAATGAAATCAGGAAATCAGTATCCTTCACGGTATGACCTTTTTCAGTATACTTTGGAGTTGGAGAATATCAGTGCCATTGTCCGTGATATCCAGGATCAGAGAACCTCTGTCTGGGATCCTTTCTTTTCCAGGTGCGTCTCTAACCACAGTCAGGAAATAAGTCTCCTTGAATCTCAAGGATCGACCAGTAGCGTCCCAGGAACTGCCCAGGGCATGTCTGCTCCGATTACACAAATGGGGACCTCAACTGATGGGGCTTCTGTCTTCTGCGAATCTGCACAGGGATATATTTCCTCCCCCCAAAGCTCTGAGGAGTCTTTAGCAAAAAGCCCATTTCACTCACAGAGTGCTTTAAAGTCTCGATTGTTAAATTTCCCTGTTGCTGAGTTTCCTGGAAAAGAAGCTTCATTGTGGGATGTATTGCCTTCTCATTATGTTTCCGAGGAGAAGCAGAAGGAGCTGCTGCGGCTCCATCAGTTGGGCGATCTCAACCTTGATCAGATGGAGTCTGCGGTGTCTGATATCATTCACCGTGACAAGGAGGGGGGAGAGAGGCCGAGCGGAGGCTTTGCAGCAAGCAGCAGTCCTGATTCCATGGCGGCAGAAGACGGCGAGTCCCAGGCTCGGCAGCTGCAACTGAAGAAGACTTTGAGGACGACTCTGGTCCCCGTGACAGTGGGAGAGTACCAGGGGCAACGTATGTGTGTCCTGGATCTCCTCTTCTCTAAATATGTCCCTCAGGATAATAGGCAGGAACTCCTTGAACTGTACAGAGCGGGGGCTTTACCCATCGAGGACATGATAAGCAGAATCACTGTCCTGCTGGAAGAGGCGGAAAGCCAGCGGGAGAAGTGAGAGACCAAGAAAAGGGACGTGCGTCGAAAGGAGAGACAGGACCAAGGGGATGACCCATAAGCAATGGGGGCATCTCACTGGAGCCCCGATTCTCTTCTCCCCAATCAGCCCAGGTGCCTCTGGCCACCCCCACCAAGCGCAGCCTCTCCGTTTGCCACCCCACCCGCCTCCCCCTCCTCTGCTACTTCATCTGGCTGGGGTGGGCAGTGGCATTTTCCCCCAGGTTTACTTTCCAGCCTTCTCCCTGCCCCCCCTGCCATTATCTCCACTCTGACTTTGGTTTTCCAGAACTGAGATACTTTTGAAGGCACAGGAGAACAAAATCAGTTCCTGCAGGAGGCAAAATGATGGGTCCTGCTCGGAACTGCTTATGGGGCTGGGGGCCACTTGGACAGTCCCAGAGATGTGAGGGTTCTGACTGAAAAGGGGGGGGCTAACTGGGCAAGACTCCAATTCTGCTGCAACTTGCTAGTTACATGAAACTCGGCTACTGGACTTGTCTGTTTCCACTGGTAATAAAAAGAAAGAAGATGTGTTAAAGTTCCTTTGATTGCATTGGGATTTAGTCCAGATCCAGGCTGGTTCCCAAGAGTGGCTAAAGGGGGGGGGGGGGTGAGCAGAGGCAGGCAGGGTATTTTCTATCTGGCTGACACATTTCAGTAGTGGATTGTTGCCTCTGGGGCCAATGAAGCCTCCGTCTCCTAAAACATAAAGTTTAAACCCTACTTAAAAACTGAAAGCCCCCTCCCCTGTCTCCCCAGTGGTTAAAAGAAATAGCCCATTTAATGAGGACGGAACAGCTTGACTAAGTCTTCCCATGCCAGCAGCAACCCCTCTCATTTCTTTGAATTGTTTAGCAAATTGTTCTGAGGGACATGCAAAGTTTGCTCTTGTGGGAGCTATAGACGTCTCCCCCTCCTCCTCCTCCTTTGAAACCTCCACCTTTAAATGGTTTACCACCCACTGAGTAGGAGTCTTTTCCACGCTTGTTCCCCATCTGGGTGGCTGGACTACCTTTCTGACCGGATGTCCTTCTGGGAGGAACTTTCAGCCCTCAGCCAAGCCCTGACAATAGTCCTGGGTCCACAAGAGTGCAGAAACCAGGAGATGCTTTGGCCAAACTGGAATTTCTGAATGTTGCTCCCAGAGGCCAATTTGTTCAGAGAGCATGTCAGCTGGAAGAGATAAGTTGTTTTAGTCGAGTTTTTAGCCAAGCCATTTTATGCTTGTCTGTTTATACCCTGCCTTTATTATTTTTATAAATAACTCAAGCTGGTGAATATACCTAATCCTTCTTCCCCCTCCTATTTTCCCTGCAACAACAACCCTGTGAGGTGGGTAGGGCTGAGAGGAAGGGTTTGGGCCAAAGTCACCCAGCCGGCTTTCATGCTTAAGGCAGGATCAGAACTCACAAAGAACTTTGCAAAGAAGGAATACATTTAATCCCTCTCAAAACAATTAACCAAACCAGAATTAAGGTATGAGGAGAAGGTTTTTTATGTGCCAATTAATCTGTATACTGCAAGGTCCAGAGAGAATGAACACAACCTATGATGCCCCTGCTGGAGAGACAACAACTGGGGAGTTTGTTGAGAAAGAAGAGAAGGAAGAAATGGAATGGTGGACTTTGCTATTTGTTTTGCTTGTCTTTTCCTAATTTTTGTTTGCTTGGTTACAAACAGTTTGACGTTTGCCAATGTGCTGACACAAACGGAACGCAAGTACAGAAGCCAGACTAGGCTGAGCATTAACAAAGGAGCTGGATGAGTGGGGGGGGGAGCAGCAGGGGGGCACCTGGCTAACAACCCAGCCCAGAATTCTCTGGGAACTCACCAAAGTTCACCTCCTGTCAAAATGGATTGGGGGGAGGGGCGGCACGTCTGGAACCGAAGGGATTCCAGAGGGGTGAAGGCTGTAAGCCACGTTCTCTCTCTGAACACCAGCGGCTCAAGTGATACAGCTGAAATATTTTACCGTATAGATCTGCAAGATTGTTTGTACCAGCAGTAGCAATGCTACAGGAAAAATACAACACAGAGGAGATACAAGATAAATATTTTGATAACATAGATAATCCTTGGTTTATGACAGCAATTGAAACATAGTCATAGACAACATCACAGGAATGCAACACTTAACAACAGCATTTCCAACAGCCCTGGTTGCCAATGTTAAGACCTTATAAGTCATCAAGTGAGGACCTCACACGCCCCTGACTTCCGACTTCCTGCCAGCTTCTCCACTGACTTTGCTTGTGGGAAGCCAGCTGAGAATGTCAGAAATCACAATCCTCTGGCTGCAAAAGTTGCTGTGATGTTGTAACCCTGTGTCAAGGGCCAGGCGCCCAGATGGCCATTGCATGGCCGGCCACAGGGAAGGCTGGAGAGCTCCAAGGACCGGCTGCAACTACTACTCATTCAGCGGTCATAAGTTTGAACAGTCACTGAACAAGTGTTCATTAAATTAAACATTTTTCAGCAGGAACAAATAAACTGAAAGGGGTCACAATTCCATTTAAAGCTCACTTATATTTTTTAAATTGAACAAACAATGGGCAGGCAGGCCTGGAGGTTATTCTCTGAATTGGGGTCAGAAACAATGAATTAATAAAACGTGGCATGCCAAATCTGATATCGCAAAGGGTCGATAGAAATTTAGAGCAAAGTGAATATTTTCAAAGTATTTGTTATATAAACTCTTATTTATTATGTTATCTCTATTCAAATGGTCCCCCGCATGTCATTCAAATGACACTGGTGCTGCTTGAGAAGAGGCTCCATCCGGGGGTCAAACGCTCCAGTAACCCAAATTAAGCCCACGGCCATTGATCCAAGCAGGCTGTGCCGCATGGTTACTTCTCAAAGAGCAAGTTCCATAATCGTGCCCTCCACTGCCCGCAGCACTCCAGCTGATCAACTCTACATTAATTTTCAACCAATGAGCTACTTTTATCTCACTGTTTTAATTTGTTTTTAAAGAAAATTATATGAAGCAAGCATCAGTAACAACACAAGATGAAACTAATTTTAAAAATACATCAAACAAGCCCACATCTCAGTAGGAGGTAAATAATTACTTAGCAGAACTGCAGTTGTCTGAATGGTTCACTCAGGCTACACTTTTCAGGAAATCAGAAATAGTTGACGTTTCTGAAAGTTTGAAAAATGAAAAATCACATGGTTCAGATGTGTTTTCTGGAGATTTCTATAAAGATTTTTAGCCATCTTAATTTTGGGACATATTAATTTTATTAATATGTAGTTGACTGCAACAGGATCTGGAAACCTTGAGAATTCCCCAAAAGCTGCTTCAGATGGGCCCATTTCATCACTTCATGTATTTTGGACCACAGCTTAGATACTAAACAATTAGCTAATCATCTTAAATTAAATCTCAATAAATGTATATTTCTAGATAAGTCCAGATTCATTCCAAAAAGAAACAAATAGCTTGCTGAGTAAATAACTGAATATAGTATTATGTTTGTAATAAGCAATTTAAGTGTTTTCTGCAAAAAAAAATGTCCATTATTCTCAGAAAAGCAGATCAAGTAATATAAACTTGCAAGAGCACAAAATAAAAACATATAATTATGTTTCTTCAGAATTTCTGCTTTTATGAGATCCTAAATAGAGATTCCTCTGATACTCTCCTTTCTTTCACTTATACAAGCGTTAGCTCTATTGTAATAGAGTAGACAAATAATCACCTTCGCAGAGGAGACTCTAAGAGCTCCATAGCAGTTACTGAATTCATTTGCTGATGGTACTGTACTTATTTTGTCAAGTTCAATACATTTGGCCAAGTAAATCAGCGTATTAAATTTATTTGCAGAAGATACAATACTTACCCTTTAAATCGACACAGTCAACTTAGTATGTTAAAAAATACTTTTAAAAGTCCCTTATAGCAGCAGGCCTATTAATCACTTAAAAATAATTGAACCAAGCTGGGAGGAAGCAGAAGGGGAGCCCCCACAGTCCCCTAATGAAAGCCCTGCTTGCATCCAGGGAAACTGCATTTCAGAACAGAGGCCTGGGAGGGGCATTACTACCCTCACCTTCACCCTCACCACCCTGGGCTACAGAGGCAAAGCCTCCCCTGGGCCTGGGATCAAAGATGGCAACCCCCGCTAGGCTGCTCTCCTAGCTCAGTTGGGGGAACTTTCCCAGAGGTCTCTGTTCAGCTCCGACCCCGGGGCTCAGTCAGCCCCTCTGAGCCAAATGCCACCTTTGGCATTGCTCTGGGGAGTAACAGAATTGGAAGGGACCTTGGAGGTCTTCTAGTCCAACCCCCTGTTCAGGCAGGAAACCAGAGACCATTCCAGAGATGGTTGACCAATCTCTTCTTAAACGAGGAGAGGTACTCCTCGCTGGAAACAGGGAGAAGCAGGCGACCTCTGGCGATGACCAGAATGCAGGAGCAGGGTCCCCACAGCTGATTCTCAGAAGGGGTTCTGGGGTTCAAGCACTTTGCACACGCTCAGGAATGCCTAGCAGAACCTGATAAGGGGAGCCTGGTAACATCCGAGGAGCTTCGGTGGGCAACATGGGGAAGGTCCGACCCTAAGGTTAGCTAGCCCAGAACCCCCCGCCTCCTGCTCTCCCTGTGAAACTGAACACTAAACCCCATCATCCACAACCAGCACCCAGCAGGGAGTCACGGAAGTCGGAGAGCGCCGGGGACTACCAGCAGGCGGCGGCCGAAGCTCAGCGCCGCCTCCGCCCTCCGCCGTACCCGGTCTGGAAGGAGGGTTGCGCTGGGGCCGAGGCGCGGCTGGGGAGTCCTCCGGCCACCCCAAACGCCACGCACGGCCCGAGGGGGAGGGCCTGGGGCGGGTCGCCTCCACTCCGCTCCGCTCGCCCGCGGCTCTGCCCGTCCCCGGCCCGGAGCTCGGCGCCCTCCGTCGCCGGGGACCCCCGCCGGCCAGCGCCACAATAAAGGAGGCCCCCGAGCGAAGGAGGGCGGGAGAAGGGGCGCGGGTTGAGGTGCCCGGTGGGACCTGCCAGAGTAACGGCGGAGCCCCGGAGCAGCCCCCTGCCGCCTGCCCGGAAACTCCCGGCGGCCGCAGAGAACGCGCTTTCCGCCGGGTCCGCGAGGCTCCGGTCCCGGCGCTGCATTCCAGGAGGGAGCGGCCGGCCAGGTGGGTTGCAGGAGGCGCCGCCTGAGCAGCTCCAAGGCGGCAACGATCCTTGCTGGTCCGGAAGATCCAGCGGGGCCCTGAAGAACGGGGGCCGCTCGTCGCCTCCGGGGCAAGTCCAAGTCTGGCAGCCGGAGAAGAGGCTGGGCCTCCGCCCGGTGCACGATTGGCTTAGAAGAGCCCAAAAGGAGAAGAGGCTGGGCCTCCGCCCGGTGCACGATTGGCTTAGAAGAGCCCAAAAGGACTCCGGGGAATTCTCAGCAGCCCCGGGGAGGGGGACCAATGGGCATTGCTCCTTCTAGGTGGTTCTATGGGCGTTATTTAGTCTTGGGGTTTCATAAAGCTCCATGCTGGACTTCCACTACTGCACTGCAGGAGGGTGCAAGGATGACCTTGAGGTCACC